GCAGATATCTCCATCTAAGCCCCGCTTGCGCTATAATTGAAATGGCGCATTTGGCTGGAGGCAGGTTGTGAGGGCGCTTTCTGCAGCAGCATGCATGCATGTCCATAGACGTCATTTGATTTTAATGGCCTGCAGGAAATTTGGCGTTACTACCCCAGACATTAAGGCAGGAGAGAGAGAGGAAGAGAGAGAGAGAGAGGGGAGAGAAAGGAAGAAAGAAAGAAAGGGAGAGAAGCAGGAAAAATCAGCGCATGAATCATTTTTTTGGTTCAAGGATATCTCTTCATTCTCTCAACATCATTTTTTTTTATTCCGCTGAGACTTTATCAACAAGTTCCTGCAGCTTCATTGTCTGTTGCCTAAGTGAAGGACCATGGCAGCTCTAAACCTGGCTCTAAACTTTACATTTGGACTGGAGATGGAGATGGAGATGGAAACGTGTGCCTGAGAGCTGGAACTGCCTGCGGAACTATTACATCAGAGCAAATGACAATGATTAAAATCTGCTTTTTGCTGCTCTAAATCCACTCTCAGACTCACAGTTGCCTGTTAGGTTCCCTGCACGCACAACTTCACACCGTTAAAGGGCAACCGTCTACTTTTGCCTGGGAAGAAGAGAGAGAAAAAAATAAGATAAGTTATTATATGTGTGCAGGCATAAAAGGAGGGGATCACATTTTCTCCCCTGGGCGAGAGAGTGGAGTTGAGCTAATTGTAGCCTAATCCCTGGCCCAGAGGCGCTCGGGCAGCCGGGAGCAAGAATTTTTTTCTCTTTTAGCCCCGCTCTGTTATTTAGAGAGGGATTATTGGCTTTTCTTCTTCTCCTTCACATAACAAACCACTGGGCAGTTTCATTTAGGCAAAACAAGGCAGACGAGGAGCCGGAACAGGAGCAGGGATCTCCAGCAGGAGCGCACATTTTTACGCGTATCCTAACACGAGCAGAGAAGGGGAAGGAGATCATCTTCTCTATGTTCAAGGTAAGGACGCTTCCTGTGCGCTTTGCTGCAAAGAAGCGGAGTGAGGACAGGTCGAGTGTGAGGGAGCGTCGCCGTAGAGCTGTTGTAAAAACAACACGGACTCCTCACAGACTCCTCCATCCCGAGTATACGCTGCTGATAGAATATATATGTATATGTATATAAAAAACAACACAGTTTGGTGCGGGATACTGCACGAAGATTCGGGCTTTCTCCGTGCGGCACTGCAGGCGTAGCTCCGTGTGCTGTACGACCGTGTGTTGGCGAGTGCGTTTGGATGAAAAAAAAATATATATATATATTTCAGTTTGAAGGGATTTGATCAGGAAGCTTCCCGGGAGGATTCTCTTCTGGACTCACTACGATGTTTGAAACGGTAGGGTTTTCAATTATTGTTGTTGTTGTTATTATTGTCGTTTCAAGCAGACTGAGAAATAGCTCAGCAGCGTTTTTACGCACATTCTGTTGGAGAGGCTACAGAGGAAGTGGTGCCGGAGGTGAACGCCAACAAATCCTCCTCCTGTGATCGGACGGACCGGACTCTTCACCGGCTTCTTTTTTGTTAAACGAATTATTCGTATTGCACGTGTCGACATCGTGCCCTTTTTAACTGCACGGCAGGAATATGGCGCCATATTGAGCGTTTAGGAGAATTAAGGGGAAAAAAACAGGAATATTTGATGCGTACAGTGTGTTGATTTGCAGTAAAGACATGTGACGGAATTGACCTGTTTTCGCCTTCATCTGGACATTTGTACGGTGGACTCTGGAGCTGATGTGACGTGAATGTCATCAGTGTGAAACAGGGTCAGTGGAACAGCAGCTCACAGGGAAACTTAGTGCTTTTACAGCTGCTGCGATTTTCTACAGGAATGTGTGAGTGTGTGTTGATGGAGACACGTTGAGTTTTTATCCTAATTGTGCAATGATCTAAATAGCACAGACTATTTATGTGATGCCCCCACTCCCCTCCACAAACTTCCCAAGTTCTTCCCCCGTGTCTCCTTCCCCTCCAGTGTTCGTGAATGTACCGCGGTTCCCCTGTAATCGTGTTAAAGAACATGACACTGCTGTGAGTGGGACACCACCCTGCACAAGACAAAGCTCCGTGTCTCACATGTTGTCTTTCCAGCGGCATTCTCTATCTCAGAGCCGCGGGGGAATAATCCTGGTTTTGCACCAACGGGCCTTCAGGTTCCCGTTCATTACAACAAACACATCTAAAACCTGATCATTCAGTCACTCTGCCTCTAAAACCACATTCAAACTTTTCCCTCATTGATACATTTCTGCACACACTGACCCGGGGGTTTGTTATTGATGAAACACCTTAGAACCCCCTGTACGTTTGCTGTGTCACCTTGACCAACCAGGTGTCGATAAGGTGACCGCACTGGGGTTGTCGGTTCCATTCCTGCAGCTCTAACAAGGAGCAAAACTACAGCAGAGCCATTAAGTCAGGACAAACGTTGTATCATGTCATCGAACCGTAGCCTTCGCCCGGTGGAGGGCAGTGACGCCTGCCGGAAACTCCACAAGTCATTTCCTTTGTCAATAACACACAACTTATAATCACGTATTTCATTGTTGTTGTTGTTGTTGTTCCCATTGATAATATTAGAGCAAAATAGCATGAGCCAAGGTTATGATATGTTTCCTGCTCAGTGAACGTGGATGATGCGTTTTGGTGCACAGTCAGGTTTCACACTTGTTACCGTAAATACATCTCGGTAACAACACAAGTTTTTTGTACATAATAAGTGTGTGTGTGTGTGTGTGCGCCTCTCCCCCTCCCCTCTCCCCTTCCCTTCCATCTCCACCGCGTCTTTCCTCTTTGCTCTCAGATTGGTGGTTGCTGTGTCTGTGCGCATCACGTCTAACACATAAGGCGACCTTTAATTAGAATATTGCAGCAGCAGTTTGTTTTATTCCCCTGGAGGCTGACACCTAACACCCCCCTCTCATCTCCTGTTTTCCCTCCCTCTGTCTGTCTGTCTATCTGCCCTCCTCTCTCTCTCTCTCTCTCTCATCCTGCTCTTCCAATAAGCGTCCTCCCATCCTCGCCCGCGGACCTGCATGAAAAGATGCAAACATACTTAATTAGAGCGGTGGCAATAATTTCCAGGCTAAATATGAGACCAGTCAGACATGGAAGTGATCTGATGCCATTCAGGCAGGATATTATCTGCCTCTCTGTGTAGGATCACTCTGCTGAGCTTCTGTTTTTTTGGTTTTGTTAGTTGGTTTGTTTGTTTTTCCATTCACTCCTATGGCCTTTCTCTACACCTGCTTTCAGGAGGGAAGAAGCATGTCGCGGCTGTCTCTGACCCGGTCCCCGGTCTCCCCTTTGGCAGCTCAGGGGATCCCCCTGCCGGCTCAGCTGACCAAGGCAAACGCCCCCGTGCACATCGATGTTGGGGGGCACATGTACACCAGCAGCCTGGCGACCCTCACCAAGTACCCAGACTCTAGGTAAGAACATCTGCTGCACTTAGAATTCACTATCATTTCCGTTATCATTTTGTCAGATTTTTTTTTTTTTCAAAGTTCCTGTCATGTTGAAAGTGAAATGTTTTGCATCTTGTTTTGTTTTAAATCTGACACTTTCATGATGTTTTTTAATTGTTAAGGGTCTGATTATTATCCTGGTTTACCTGCAGTTGTTGGACTAATTAATTTAACGGCTTATTGTTGGTTTTTATCTCATTTTGAGGCTTCATTTTTGCTTATTTCATGACAATTAATTCTTCAATAATTGAATTATTGTTGTTATTAGTCATTAGTGGAATTTCCAGTGACATTTTTTTTTATTCCTGTTAACCTGTATTCATATCCACTTTTATCCTCCAAAATATTAATTAGATTTTTATGCAGGGTTTTTTTTTTACTAGTGATTATTTTAATTGTGAAAAACACCTCAGAGGCTTTTATTTTTATCTCCTCTCACACTTCTCACGAGCTGCTGTCAACCTGACAACCACTTTCACATGTTTTAGTGTTGACTCAAACACAGCTTTTTATCAGGATTTACACGACTGACACCGACACACACCAGTACAAGCTTCTTCCTTCTGGCTGGCGTCAGGTTTTTTTTTTCTTTCTTGGAAATCCCTGTTAACAATGATTTTTTTTCAACTGCTGCACATTGACAAATTCTATTGTATAAGTTAGATTTAGAATTTGATGGAAAGTCCGTTAAAGTCAATATTTGGAACAGATTTTGTCATACACGACATTTAAAACTATTCATTTCCAAATCTACTAAAGGATTCCTTACTGGTTTATTTTTTTTTAAACCAACAGCCAAAAACAAACAAGTCAATAGTTTCCCGTCAAGATTCTGTCACGGAGAAAAGAGAGGGATTTTATTTTGGATGCACCGTCACTGATAGGTTCAGCTACAATGACTCAGGTTGTTTAAAAGCAGCTCTTTGAATTTGTTAGGTGTTTTATTTTTCTTTCCATAAAGGTGTTTTTAAAAAAGCAGAAAACACTTTTCTTGTTTTTTTTTTTCTTTCCAAAAAAGCAGAAAATACTTTTCTGCTGGGGTTTGACTCCTGTACCACGACTCCATGTTTTAGGCCCCTTTTGCACTGAAACAGTGTGTCATTCATTACTCTAAGTCTGCGATTCAAAGTCAGCTGACAGAGTCCCATGTGGGCCAGTGTAAACATACACCGGGTTGTTAGAAAATCTGCCAAATTGGCTACAGGAAACATAATCCATATAATCCCCTGGTAATAAAGTCTTGATATTCATGGAGTCGGCTGACAGGAAATCCCTGACAAGCTCTGCCTTTATTTCTGGCTCTTACAATAAAGCTTGTCTCAGACAAGGGTGTACCATTTGGGTTGTTTTCTTAAAATATTCACATTCTACAGTATTTACCCTGCTCACGCAGGGAGCATTTTTATTAATGACATAACGGTGGATACATTTGGACGTGATCCTTGACTTTTATCCCGTTTTAAATATCGTGCAACACTGGATTAAAGCAGTTTTTTTTTAAGATTTTTATATTGACATTTCCTTCTGACTATCCAAAAATATATTTGCAAACATGTTGGCCACAGAGAGAAACACACAAACAGGGCAGTGTCATGTCAGAACACCCAAACACAGTTTGTACAGTCAGATTCTCAGAGTGAGTGCAAAGCAGTCTCTCTCTCTCTCTCTCTCTCTCCCTCTCTCACTCTCTCTCTCTCTTTCAATCTTTCACACATGCTCTTTTGCCCTTTCTTCTCTTTTTGTTTTTTTCATCTCACTCTTAAACACACACACACACACACACACACTCCATGTTTTTCTCTCTCCCAGCCTCCTCGGTGTACATTTGGCCTCAGGGCTCCACTTTCCAGTGGAGCCAGTGGAAGGAGGGGCCCTTTTGTGTGAATTAGTATAATGGCTGACAGCAGAAAGCAAAACAATTACGCCGCCACAGTCGTCGACGCTACATTTCTGCCGTGTCCGGTCCGACTGGGCACCGCGTCACGAGTGAAGTCCACGTGGCATAAAAGAGCGAGGTTAAAGAGTTTATAGTCGATGATTACTTTTAATAGATTGGACTCTAAATAATAAAGCGTGCCCAGAGAAAGTTAGTCTAGTAACTAATGTGCGGTCGTTCGTCTTCCAATGTGCTGGCCATATTAAGGAACAAGGGTCATGAAACATTGATGCGCACTCTGTGTCGCTGTCACAGAAGATTATCTCGGCAGCCACTTAAAAAAGAAGAGGAAGAAATTAGGCCAAATGTTCCACAGACAGTGAAACTATTTTGAAAGCACCATGAGACATTTTTCTCTTTTAAGACGAATCCTCTGCGTCCGCTGGTGTTCAATCTTAACCAGACCAGACTTGATGCTCTTTTGTGTGAGCTGAAATCAGTGTGATGAAAATGGCCGTGGACGTCTCACTCTATACCCCGTGTGTAAGTTTCTGAAAAGAGATTTTAAAGTCTCTCAGCTTTTCTAAGCCCGCCCTCAGGCAACCTAGGGTTTTTTTCAAAGAAAACTTTTCAAATACTCAACACTGCTCACGTATATCAACAATCTAAGTAAAAGGGAAGAGGTATGGGATTCTTGTTTTTCGATGACGCGTTGTTAAAATGTACTGGCGAGGGCAGATCAAAATGGACACGTGAATCATGTGAATCTATTTATGAAGATCAATCAGATAAATATTTATAAGCACTCGTCTGATACACAGATGACTATTTGCACACAGCAGGAAAACATCTTTGTTACAAAAAAAACACCTCAGGTTTATAATACCATTCCAATGCCCAGCATTGAAATGGTATTTGTTTCCCAAACGAAATGACAACTTTACTTAACCTCTGAACAAAACATGTGAAAATACATTATTTTAATTGATGCAATTTTATCACAAATGATCATTTAAAATAGATGTAATAGAGATGATCACATAATGTTTGTCTAAACCTGTTGACACATCTGAACATCTGATTCAAAATACTGAGCGAAAAAAACAAATAATCATTCTAACAAACTCAACATTGGACATGGACTGATCGACAGGCCAGTGATCGGAATCAGCTGGTTGTCAGCGTGACCGGCCGATCCACACGTGTTCTGCCAGTTTTGCAGCCAATCATTTTGCGCATGCATTCAGTGATGGAGAACAGGAGATGAAGCTCAGATCCACAAGCTGGAGCTAATCTACCGTTGACTTGGAAATAGTTTAGAGTGAGCCAAGAACGCTCCCCGTCCGCTGTTTGTGTTTAAGAGTGAAGAGCTGCCACCAAGTTGTTGGGAACAACAAACCTAATCTGACACTGAAAACGTCGTCATGCAGCCGAACATGCACCACCCAAACTAACATTTTCAGACGTAATGTTACCTGAGCTGTTTCAAGTCATGCAAGCATTTGTTTAGTTTGGCAGAACAGGAAGAAGAGAAATGGTCAGTCAGGTGACCAAGTAGATCCTGTAGGATTTGGAAATTAAAAGCATTTCTGTTCTCTCACTACCTGCTGCACTTATTACATGAAAAAGAACAACTTATAATCGGACTTTATTTCTTTTTTTCATTTTGAGGTTGTGCCTTAAATCACTACAGAAAAAAAAAAATAAACTCCAGATATTGTTGTTTTGCTTCGCAGCTGCACAGGAACTGAAATTCATTTGGCCCCTTGTTGGGACTAAATTGGGATTCATTGCAGATACCAAGCACTTTATTTTGAAAGTTGCTGAACTGAAAGAGTTCATGTGGATGAGTGCACTTTCTTAATTACTTATGAGGAGAAAACAACCTTGCGCTGATGAACTCTTTGTATATACTATCAAGTCCACTTATATACTCATACTCAAAGATGGGTAGAGTAGCCAAAACTTGTACTCAATTAAAAGTACTGTTACTTCAGAATAATATTACTCAGGTAAAAGTAGTAATCCAAATAATCACTTAAGTGAGAGTAAAAAAGTACTTAAAGCTCAGGTAAAAGTAGTAATCCAAATAATTACTTAAGTGAGAGTAAAAAAGTACTTGTTGAAAAACTACAAGTACTGAGTAACTGTTGAGTAACATCTGATTTATTTTTTAATGAGCACTTAATCAGCTAGACAAAATAACAGAGAGTTTTAATGAGCATTCAATCAGCTAGACATAATTACAGAGAGGAGAGTTTATCCTTTCAATAGAATAATAAAATAAAACAAATGAATTAAATACCTTTAAATAATCAATGGAATAATACATAAGAGTACAAATAAATATTTACTACATAACTTAATAACACAAAACGATTTTAGGTCAAACTTACCGCAAAATAGTTCCTCAGGTGAGACGTTGGGTTTTTGAATGCTGAAATATCCGTTTGCTTTGGGAGACACAAAAGACGCCGCACGATGTAACTGCTGTTTCGCACTGTTTGTAAACTGAACATTTCATTTCAATACGAGTCCAGGGGTGTCTTCGTCTCCTCGTCTTCGTCTGCGTTGCCGACCGTTGATTCTACCGTTTTTTCGCTATCAAAGACTGTGGATATCGACCGCGATAGCCGCTAAGCTAACCCGTCCCGCCGCTGAGATTGAGTACAGTCACGTGACGGGAATGCGCGGCAAGGGCTACGTTTTACTGGTTAAACACAGTCACGCGGTAGAGCCTTGGGCGGAAGTTTCTCTCTCTCTCTGACAAAATAAAAGTAATGAAACTGGATCGTGGACGTATAGAGAACTGGATACTGGAAAGCTAAAGTTTTATCCAGTATCTCTGTAACGAATGACGAGCTCAGTATAGCCTAATGTAGCGGAGTAAAAGTACTTCTTCATAAATCTACTCAAGTAAAAGTAAAAAGTATAGTGATTTACAACAAATCCTAGAAGTGTTTTATTTTGAAGAACTTACTCACGTAAATGTAACTTGTTACTACACACCACTGCTTCATACTTCTAATAACACCCAATGTATATTTACATTGATTTTTAGCTGAAGTTGACCTTCACTTTATAGGTTATTTCTTTAGAATTAGAAACAAAAGCCTTGTCATAAAAGGTTTCATGTTAATAACACCCAATGTATATTTACATTGTTTTTTAACTGAAGTTGACCTTCACTTTATAGGGTATTTCTTTAGAACTAGAAACAAAAGCCTTGTCATAAATGGTGAGGTTTCATGTTTCAGGCGGGAAGTGTAAACACCTGATGTTGGTCAACCTGTGTAGGAAGTAGCCGTGGGATCAGTGTGCACTACCGCTGCAGGTTTGATTAGTTATTGTCCTGAATACATGGACTGACTCTACCATCGTCTACACACACACGACTCTGCCACATACATTATATGTTTCTACCTTTTAACCTTTTTGTTTAAATATTCAACATTTAAAATGCTTCTACAACCAGAGCAACTGAAACCAGTGTCACTTTCTCTGACCACGGAAGTTGACTCTAATTCCTCTTTCTTGTGTTCCAACATTAACATCTTGTCTGTTTTTTAAATCTGGTCTTTATTTAACCCTCCCTGTTCTTTCCCTGTTGTACCTGTTCAAAACAAATCGCCTTCCTACTCCAAGATTTAACGGGAGTGGGGGAATGAGGAAACCGAGTGAGTAGGAGAGAGAGAGAGAGAGAGAGAGAGAGAAAGGAAATGGAGGGAGAGATGGGAGAGGAGAGGCAAAGAAAAAGAAAAACAGGCAGCATTTTAATTGCTTTTAAAAAAAAAAAAAGTGGAGATGAAAAACAGAGTTGGCCTGGAGGGGCATGGTGAAATTCTAGCTGGAAGAATTGCAAGACCATATGAGAAAAAGGAACACCTCGGGCTAAACAGGGAGATGAGTATTGGTTTTTTATAAAGCATTTTGCATCGATTTCCAGAGAGAAGGCGAGTAAGGCAGAAGAATGGAGAGAGAGAGGAAGAGAAAGAGAAAGAGAGAGGATGGCAGGAGGGAAGAAGGGGAGAAAAGGAGAACCATCTTTGTTCCTTCACCCAGTAAAGCCACAGATAAAAGGAGGGTAAACGTGATGGCGATATCTCCAGTGTTTAGCGCCACCTGAAGTACATTCGATGCAAACCCGCTCACACACTTTGACAAAGAGCATAATTGGCGTCGTGAATTCAGTGAAATGAGTTTGTCAGTGAATCCATTGCTGCTCCTTGTTCTCTGATGCTCCCACTGCGGCCCCCCCTTCACCGGCTTATAATAGAGTTTGACAGTGCCAATGATGAGACGGGGCTTGGAGTTCGTACGTGTGTGTGTGTGTGTGTGAGAGAGAGAGAGAGAGAGAGACGGGCGGCGTGTTTGCAAATACGTTTTCTTTGTCAGACAACTCTGTCAGTCGACCTCCGAGCTGTTGCTGTGATTAAAGAGCTGATTACATCAAAACGCTGATAATAACAGAGACGCACGGCCCTGCCACAAGCTGTTTCTGTGAAAGACGTCAAAGATGTTACATTCAACAGATTCCCTGTGTAAAGCATAGGGCTGTGAGAAAAAAAAGAAAAAAAAATCGATGCAGTGAAATATCGCGAGATATCGTTTCACGATACCATATTGATATTCTTCAGCTCAGTGTCGGTTTATTGGTAAGGTACGCCTGGTGTATCCCAGGACATGGATACAGATAAAAAGGTCAACGATTCACTAATATAAAATAAGTCAACACAACTCTGCATCAACTTAACACCGAATAGACAATTAAACATGAATGCTGATTATATGTCACACATTATAATTAAACTGACTGTTATACAGAAACACAGCGGAACCAAGACGATGTATAAAAGGCAAAGGAAAATGTGTCAGTTCTTGACAGCATGGAGGGAAAGAAAAGAGGGAAAAAAAAGACGATCGCTGTAAAACATGGTTGCATTCCATAACGTAGGAAAAACAAAACTCGATAAACCAGACCATAAACTTGACAGCATGGAGGGAAAGAAAAGAGGGGAAAAAAAGACGATGTAAAACATGGTTCCATTCGATAACGTAGGAAAAACAAAACTCAATAAACCAGACCATAAACAGGGAAATATCACATAAACAATACGATCTTTCTAACAATCCAGATATTCATGGCGTTGGTTCCGTTTATTCTGGTGTAATTTCTTCTCTAGTGATTCCAACTGTGGATCCCTCTGTTCTAGTGTCAGTGAACTGACGTTACAGTATTGTGTTTACTATTCTGACAGTTCTCCTACAGTTAAATTATTAAAAAAAACAACTCAATATATTGTGTTGCCTTTAGTATCGCAATATATTGTATCGTTGCCCCTGTATCGTGATAAAATACGTATCGCCAGATTCTCGGTGATTCTAGTAAATCACAACTACAGGTTGTTTGAGAGAGAGAGATGTTTCCCCTGTTCTTATCACTGTCTTTTATTTTATAACGAGGATCAAGTCTTTTACAAATTGTTACACTTGTACCTAAGGTTTTTACATCATCAAAAAGCGCTGATACAATATTAACAGGGATTTTCAAAACCAATAACAGAGGATGGTTATAATACACAAAAACAGGGAGGGTGTTAGAACAAAGCAGGAACGAGAGGAAATGGTGTCTGGGCTACATGGTGATTAAACTTTTTAGATAACAGCAATTTCCACTCTTTGCCTTAATGATCGCCCTGTAGCTTACTTTAACTTGAAGTGAAAATATGCACATTCTTGGTTATTCTTTACAGAAGTAAACGCCTGCTTTTCTCCTCAGTTCTTTGAAGCCCGTTAAATATTTTTTTACTATGATTCTGTGGTTTGTTTTGTTGGAATCCTTTGCACCCAATACCTATAAAAGGTTGGACACCAGACAGTGGAGCACACATTTCTAGTCCACTGTCCAGACATAAATATATTAGTGTTATATTAGCATGAACACAGAGAGAATACCAAAGAGGTAAAACGATCTGTTTTGTGCACATGGTAAATAAATATCCCAATATACACGTCGTTACGCATCAGTGTGCGTCACCTGACCACTTCCTGCCCCTGTTTCATTTCCAGCCGTCTGACAGATGCTATAATAGAGCTGTAATGCTACATTCATGCCATTAATTTCTGTGAGTACGAGCGTCGAGCCAGCGTGTTGTCGTAGTCTTCCTGCAGAAAGGACACTTCAAACAAGTGTGGAATGGAGCGACTGTGCCTTGAGCCCCTTGTTTCAACTTGGGATGCTAATGCATTTCAAGCTCAGTGCTAATAAAATTGAAAAATAAATGGAGGGTAATTGTTTCATGCATTTGAAGGGAGCTGGCTGACTCTTTACTCTGTGTGTGTGTGTGTGTTTCTCTGTGTGTGTGTGTGTGGCTGCCTGCACGTGTGTGTCAATTTCAATTTTCAGAATCAGTCGTCTGTTCAATGGCACCGAGCCCATCGTGTTGGACAGCTTGAAGCAGCACTACTTCATAGATCGAGACGGCGAGATATTCCGCTACATTCTCAGTTTCCTCAGGACCTGTAAATTGCTGCTGCCAGAGGACTTCAAGGTACATCACAACGTTATGTGTACTTGTGTAGCGGTGTCACATGTTCCTGTCCTGCATCATCAGTTCCCATAGTTTGAACATCATAATGATTTGTAAAGCCATCTGTCCGGTTTGTTTACGAATGTGAAAAAACAGTTTGTTAATATTTGATCATTTTTCCTTCATGTTTTCCAAGTACCCATAGGAAAGACACGGTGCTGTCGCACTGTCTTAGTAGTATCCACTTTACTCCCACACATTTGGTAATAAGGTAGTGGTTCCCAATGTGGGGGATGGGCCCCCTAAAGAGGGCACAGAGCTATTACAGGGGGGGCACAGTGAGTCAAATACCATCTGACATCTGAGTCTCCAAAGTCAGAGATGTTTTCTTGGTGCCTCAGTTACTCCCACACATACCTCACCTCACCTTTGATATACGTAAAGAAGTGGTTCCCAAAGTGGGGGGCGGGTTCCTTCAAGGGAAGCAGAGGTATGAGGAACAGTTTGGAAACTACTGGATTCAAATGTGGCTCAGTTAAAGGAGTAGTCGTGGTGATGGTTGTGTTGTTTCTGTAAAGGTGAGACCAGGTTAAAAAAGTCTTCTTCTGTGGTAACCAGCTTCCCTGCTCACAGACAGAGTCAAGGACAAACCGATGGAAAGCTGATGTGGTGAAATGGTCAGTGAAGGTTAACATCATGCAAATATGTTTTGTACACAGTTCTCGGTGCATTTTGTTGTTGTTTTTGGGCCACTGCCTTCAAACCAACACAGATGTTTTTCTTTCATTTCTGCATCAAAGACCTGAAGTGAATTTAAGTGAACTGTGAGTAAATGAAAATATCAGAAGAACGGCATTCAAGTGTGCCGACGGTCGTTTGTCATCCACACAGTGTGCTTTCTATTAGTTTACAAATATAAATGTAATACCTGTGTAGTACATCTGAGTATTTGTTAGCAGGACAAAGCAGGTGTAGTTTTAATATTAATGTTTAAAAAAAAAAAAAATCTGGGAAACAGTTGTTAATTTGGACAAACTGAGCTGTGACTCATAGCTGCTAATGCTAACCAGTACGTAATTATAACGTATCAACAATCGTTCCTCAACCATTTGGCTAGCTAGCGTATTGCATCACAATTGGCAGCCGTTTGCGTAACACACCTAACTTTTCTAACATGAAAACTGTTAGCACTGCCGCTAAAACCTTTCTTTTCTCTTCCTGTTCGAGGAACCACTCGTCCGATACTTTATTCCTTCGTTTATTTTCCACTCCGGTTTTACTCAGCGTTAACTTGCACGACCTTTCCATCCTACAGAGGTTTGTTCATCATTCTCCACCAGAGCCAAAACCTCAGACAATAGAAGATGACGTGAGAGCGCCGCATATTTTGGCAAATGACGGCCTGACTCACAACCGATTAGTTTCCTCTTTCTTATTCATGCCTTTCTGTGAAATCTTGACAGTCCAATCAGGCGCCACGGTTAAAAAAAAAATATGGGAGTTCATTGTTTCAACTCCTCACGAACTACCCGCATAAGCCTGCGTCGATCTGAAAACCTTTTCAATTTGCATGAAGCCTAGGAAAAATAATGCAGAACTGAGCATGTCCTTATCTGAACACAATCAGGCTTGCCGTCGCCCCAGGGCTGGGTCGTTCTGCTGCTGGCAGCCATGGTGCTGTGTGTTTAGCTAAATCAATGTGAAAGTCTGAGCAGGAAAAGGGGGAAAAGAAATTGTTCAGCCTATATCGCTGGAACATAATATTCACTATTAATATCTGTCCTCATTTCATTATTCAAAGTACAATTAATCACAAGAGTGTAAGCAACGCTCAGGCCTGTAGTGGGCAGAAACACCAGGCATCGGGAGGCAGTTGTTTCTACAGGACTTTATCCAGCGCTGCTGAAATCAATGATGTCTTTATGAATCTAAAAATAATAGTCACGTCCTGAGTTTGGACATTTGTTTTTGGGTCCTTTGTGCTGCGTGGTGTAAAAAAGTGAGTGTGTGAAATCACAAGAGTGTAAGCAACGCTCAGGCCTGTAGTGGGCAGAAACACCAGGCATCGGGAGGCAGTTGTTTCTACAGGACTTTATCCAGCGCTGCTGAAATCAATGATGTCTTTATGAATCTAAAAATAATAGTCACGTCCTGAGTTTGGACATTTGTTTTTGGGTCCTTTGTGCTGCGTGGTGTATAAAAAGTGAGTGTGTGTATTTTAATCAACAGCAGATAGAGCTTAGTGTGTGTGTGTGTTTCTGTTCAAAACACACAGAGAACGCTCCTCATTCTTTGACTTCCATCAGTTCCATTCCCAGTCTCTCCTCTCTCTCCGTCTCCCCCTCCCCTCATCCTCCCGCTGTCCTTCCCTGAGTTGTTGCCTTGCTGGTGGGCGATCAGGTCAGATCATTATTTTGAAGCTCAAACGGGCTGTCTGGACACAGGACGGGGGGATGAATTGTCTCGCAGCATCTCTGGCAGCCGGGACGGAGCTGCTGGCCCCCGTCCTCCGTCTCATCCTCACCTCAGCTGCTCAGGATTACGCTGTTGTTTTCTGCACTTGCTCGGGATGACTAAAGTGCCTCGCAGACAGACCCCTGTTAAAAACATATCCATCCATGGCTTCAGACCCGTGAAGGATGAGGAGCAACACTTTGATACAGAGAGCCGCCTGAAGGGGAGTGTCTTCGTATGAGTTTTGTCAGCTGCAGCAAGAAAAGGCCAGGAGAGGAACAGACGGGGGGGAAAGGAGGGGAGAGGAGAGAAGGAGCGCTCTTTCTTTCACATCCTGAAACCTTAAAGCTTAGGAAGTGTTGCACCATCGTGGAGACACGGAGGCGAGGTGGTGTTTAGGTGTCGTTCCTGCACCTTAGATTAAGAGGCACGGTTCAGATCAAGCAGTGAACCGTGCGGCGCCGTTCAAGGCCACAGATTCGGGGTTGTTTGCTGCAGCCTGATGTTTTGATGCAGGTGATGTGAAACATGTGCCGTTTCTGCAGAGCACACACTGACTCACTCTGGGTGCTGAGCTGTTGCAGGACAAAAAAAGCAGCCAGGGTGGAATCTGTTATTACTGCTGCGATTTCACAACGTCCACACTTTAGAACCGTCCACAACCTGGAGCAGGAGAACAGCAGGACGGAACTCAGTGATACAACGAGTTCCTCCGCTGTGATGAATGAAGCCGTCACTCCCTGTCACCGAGAAACACTAATCACAACAGAGGTTTATTAATTACTAATTGTTTGGCATAAGGATTTGCAGCACGTAGGTCTAAAGCTAATTAAATCTTGTTCTAATAAGAGCTTAACATAGCTCATTAACATAAACCCCCGCCCCCTTTTGGTGAGGAGTATATTCACGTCCTCCACCTCATCATTGTCCTCATGTTCACTCGGCTCATTTCTGTTTCCTCACCTCCCGTCTGCCTCTCTTCGTGAACCTCCCTCCCTCCGCCTCTCTGAAGGTTCTATGGTCCTGGTGAATGATGGTGCCATCTGGTCTTGTGGGAAATTAAAGGCAGGAGAACAGGGGCAAATGCCCCCCAGCAGGAACTGCCCGGGAGGTGGAGGCAGCAATCTGCTGCAGACTGTCTGCACACAGGAATGCTGCCGTCCCACTCACTGACTGTCTTTCTGGAGTCTGCTCACTAAAACATGCTAATGGCTAGCGTAGCATCGCCCCAGAGCGACTGTGGGGCTGAGCTGCGCCGTGGCTATTAATTCTTTAACTGAGAGTGTAACGCCGCCCTGTAGGTCAGAGCCATCACCAATCTTAATTCAGTTTTACTTTATACAAATGTAGTTCATAAAAAAGTGTAAAAAAAAAAAAAATCCCATCGCAGCTAAACTACAGTAAGGACATTATTAAGGCGATCCCAAACTCACCCCGCAGTGGGTTGACGCACCCCCAGTAGCCCAGAACTTCAAAAAAACACCCAAAAACAACAGGCTTTCTTAAAGACACCGTGTTTAATCATGCTCATGTGTAGTCGCGATTATTTAGTCACAACATTTAAGTTTTTTCATGATTTAAGATCTTTTTAAATCAACTGAAAAGACAAGAATTGAACCTTTTTCCTATGTATATAACAACATCCAAGTACTTTAATTTATGGATAAACATTGAAGAACATGAAGGTTTTCCTTGGTGAATAATCACCCTTCTGAGTTCATGTGCGACTGAAGCTCAAAGAGCAGCAGCAGCAGCAGTTACTGCTAGAATAATTAGAGGTCAAGTGTTTTGCTCAAGGACACTTAGTCATTAGCTGCTGCGGCGGCGGCTAACCCTTCAGGACACTCACCACATCGGCCTTTTTACTGATGTTTTAATGTTCCGTGGTTGTTGCCGGGGTCAAGTACCGATGACCTTGGTGGTACTGTTTAATGTAATGAAACTCCCTCCGTGTGTTTGTGATAAGGTTTAAATATCAGTGTTTTTTTTTTTTGGCCCCTTCCAGGACTTTTTCTTGCTGTACGAAGAAGCTCGCTACTACCAGCTGACGCCCATGATCAAAGAGCTGGAGCGCTGGAAACAGGAGCGGGAGCATCGGCGGATGTCACAGCCCTGCGACTGCCTGGTGGTTCGCGTCACGCCCGACCTGGGCGAGAGAATCGCCCTGAGCGGGGAGAAGGTCCTCATCGAGGAGATCTTCCCCGAGACCGGAGACGTGATGTGTAACTCAGTCAACGCCGGCTGGAACCAGGACCCGACGCACGTCATCCGCTTCCCACTCAACGGCTACTGCCGGCTGAACTCCGTCCAGGTACGACGTCAAACACACAGGTGTATCAGCTCACGTCTGATTCACCACCAACCTCAGCTACATTTGACACATTTTTATAGCTGCACCCCAAATATTTGTTTAAAAAAAAAAAGGTCCTGTCTGGGAAGGAATTATACGGCAGCTGTAAATTTTGGTGATGAACGAGGAGCTGAAAACAAGCAGAAGGTGCAGCGCGTGAATGATGTATGTGACAGATTATCCTCCGTCAGGACGGAATTTACGAAGCATGCGACGAAGCG